ACATGATCAGAAAGGGCCTGAATATGTGCTAAACAACCAGAAAAAGTCAAGAAAGGAATATTATGTAGGATGCCATAAAAACAAGGGGAAAAGAAGTTCAGCTAAACAAAATTAACTAAAATCTAAAATCCAACCTCTCCCAATCTGGTAGCAGTATCTGAATTAGTTAAAAACAGAAACCCCAGTGAGCTAAACTACCAATTGAACTACTAACAGAATCAACATGCAACCTAATCATATTAGGTCATCTTGGAATTGTGATTTTTTTTCTTACTAAAAACTTAGATCCTTCATCTATGTAGAAATTATCAAGGCTGAAAACTCTTAGCATCATTTTAGCTATGCCATAATTGCTAACTAATACACATTGCTTTGTCTATTCTCTGATTCCCAATAAACACAGCTTGGATATCTTAAAACTACTGGCCGCAACAATACTCAGTTGTTGGTTAGTACATGACCACTTCCATAAAACCACTGAAAAATATAGAGAAACCTAAGCTTGCAAAAATGAGGCATCCTCCATTGTTTATGAAATGTACCCTGACTGCTCCTGAGTAAGAAGGGAGCGCGTCCTCCATGAGATAAGGCTATAATCTCACTTGTTGGTGAGAGCAAATTCTACCCTTAGAAAATCTCAAATGAAATTACAGCAAAGGTAGTGTTCCAAGCAATGAACTGAAACATTTTTGAAGGTAGTGTGTGCACATCTCCACCGCCTCCCCTCTGGGTGAGCACTAAGACATTGCTAATTTAGAAAGTAAATGTAATAATGAAAAGAAAATGATAAAGTATAATTATAAATGACCCAAGTATTTATCAAGAAACCAAATTTCTTAAAGTCAAAGGTTCATCATTTGTTTTAGTTTAACCCTTCAATTAGTTGAATCATAGAAGAAAAACGTGAACATTTTTGCAAGATGGCTTTTCAATTTGTAATGATAAAGCTCCCAGTATAACAGAGGTGATTTCTAAAAGGGGGCTTTTTTTTCTTCTTTTTCTTCTTCTTCTTCTTTTTTTTTTTTAAAGTAAAGACAAACATAACTTAAGGGGGGGGAGGGGAAAGAAAAGAAAGAAAAGCATGCAGGCTCTACAGGCAAGGAGTCCACTTCCATGTATCTGGTCTGTGAGGTAACTCAATTCTCTGTGTAGAGAAACATGCAAAAGGCCAAACAATATTCCGAGCCATACTGCACATGGAAATTTAAAATATGCAACATTCAGAATGCACCTTTCACCTCTGTGCACAAGTCTATGCAAAATCTGCAAAGAAGCGAGTGTCACAGTAATGAAGTCAGGTGCAGGGACAGCTGGACAACGATGCAGTAGTGCTCACCCAGTTTGTACAGTAATTGGCACTCTACAGTATTCCTACTCAGTTTTTGATTCATTTGCACTTTGTGCTGCCTCTCCCTGGGGATCTAATTCAATCTTTACAGAAACATCTGGCCCCTCCGACCTCATTAATTTCATCTTTTTCTTTGGAGGGTTTTTCAAAGTGCCCAGCCTCTCCTTTACTTTGTACTCCAGTGTACTGTGGGGAATCCCATAAATACTCTGAGCTTTGGAAACACTCATTTTTCCACTCATAACCACCGAGATGGCTTCCTCCAGTATCTCACTGTTGTACTGTCTGTAGCGCCCTCTCTTCTTCCGAGGCTGCTTGGAGCCAGGGTCTCCTTCTTGATCCGATGTGGGATATGGCTGTCCAGAGGTAGACTGCTCAGCATCTGAGCCCCAAGAATCAGGTCCAGCATCTAATATGCTTTTTCTATTTTGTTTTGGAAGAATAGCCCTTAATTTTTTACTAAGCGCGCTCTCCGTTTGTGAACCCATTACCAAAGAGCTATAGCTGTACTGATCACCAGTGCGAGACTCCCAAGAAAGATCCATTCCTCGAACTTGTGGTATCTTTAAATCTACAGGAGATGAATGGCTCATGTCTCTTTTTCCATCTTGTTTTGTTTGATGTGCCATTTTTGGAAAGGCAGAGTTCTCTGCAATAAAAGGAAGGTCACTGATGTTGCTGAGTGCACCATTTCCCCTGAACTTCATACGGTTGAGGTTGAATTCGTAATGAGGTTTTGCCCAAGAGGCTTCCCTGGATAATATTAAGTGCTGTCCATGATTCTGTAATCCAGACGGCCCAAGGCTGGCAGCTGTGGACAATTGATTTCTGCTCAGTAGCTCTTCACTAATCTGCAGGGATCGAGCCAGTGGAACTTTGAGTGATGTGGAGTGTCCAAAACCTTCCCTGGTTCCATCCTGTAAGCTTCTTGGAGGTACCCCATCACCACTCCGAAGTCCATCTGGGCGGTACTGGCTGGGTCTCCCAGGTCGCCTAATTGGATGGAAGGAAACTGATGTGAGCAGGACTTGCACAGGAAGGGAGGGGTGGGTGAGGGGACCACTCCTTTATTAGAAGGCCTTGCTTGGGTAACATCACTTTGTGTTATTTATTTATTTTTCTCTAAAATTAAAAAAAAAAACACATGGTCTCAGCAGTTAGTTAAAAAACTTGATCACAAAAACGAAAAAAGTGAAAAAAAGAAAAAAACAAAACAAAACCAAAAAAAAAACAGGAATTTTTTGGGCAAAGAAAAATTAAACCTGTTGGCAGTCTCTGGTAGGGTTCACAAATTTTCGGAGAAAAAGTTTCGCGCAACTGTTTGAAAATAGCACCTTAACCATTTATTACAAAGTAATCATCAGTATCTCCATTATCTATACAGAATTGTTTACCAACGTGACGTTACCACTAAACAAGCACAGTAATAAAAGAGTAAGCCAAATTATTTATTTTAATGTAATGCATTCAACATTCATAACAACTAGCTAGAAAGCTGGCAGCATTCACACTGGTGAAACCCACAGATAATTGCTCATTTATGCTACAAACAAGTTAAAGTTTATTATTAAAAATTAAACAATTCCAAATGACATTTCTTGTACTGCTTGGAAAAAACCTATATATGACAACCAGTCCCAAAGTGAGGGAGGAAGTCAAGCAAAGCTGATAACTTACCACACTTCTTCATTACAACCCCACTGGTTGTAGGCAGACACAGTACCACACTTCCGCAAAGTGACTTTTTATTTTACCCAAAAGTTTATTAAGTTATACTCAGAGCCAATATAACCAGAAGTATAAATAACTTGGTAGCAATCTTCTTTAAGACAAATCTTTTTTCTTAAAATACCATATGTTTATGTTGGAATAATGTTTAAAGTCAATTACCAATTACTTATACAGTTAACTCCTAGATTTTGTAGTTGTTTTAAGGTATTTTATGTGTCGGGTGTCTTCCTTCCTTGTCATTCTCCCCCCCTCCCCCCACTCTTCTTTTTTCCAGGGGGCGGGGGAGGGGGGGAGCAGCTTTTTTTCTCACTGAACCTGGAACTCACTGATTCAGCAGGCAGGCTGACCAATGACCTCCAGGGATCCTTCTGTCTCTACCCACTCCCTCCCCAGCTATGGGGTTACAGACATGGTTGGTAGTCCTACCACCTGTGGGTGATAGAGATCCAAACTTAGGGTGTGTGTGTGTGTGTGTGTGTGTGTGTGTGTGTGTGCGCGTGTGCGTGTGTGTGTGTCTTCAGTGACTGAGTCATCTCCCAGCCCCTAATTCATGAAGTTTTCATTTTCGTAACAGAGAAAGGTTATTGATCATAAGACTTGCAGCTGGCATAGCATTCCTAAAAGGAATGATTATATCAGTCAGGCCCAAAAGTGGAATTTTACAGAAATAAATGATAAACTACATTCTCCCAGATTTTACAGAGACTTGCCACCATTAACACAGTAACACTGAATACTCAACTGAAAGACGGGCAGTACTGCTATGAATTATCTTCCATGAAACAAAACCAAGTAGAAAATATTTCCCATTCAGAGGAATGAACACAGCAGCTTAAACAATACAGAACATAAATCTGGCAACCAGGTTTAAGGTGATTCTTAAAAAAGGGCTTCATTTATGGAAATTGTACTCGGGCTTCTACTAGGACCACGCTTACACAACTCAAATGTTTTTGGTATTGAAAGGGGACCCAAATAACTTGGGATCATATTGGATTAATTTAGTATTACACACAAGGAAATTCTGAGAAGAGCTTATATTAAGCCATAAGAAAGCAATTTAATGTTTTTAGAATGAAAAAGAGTAGGAGGGGAGGAAGACAATGGAATTTAGGAGAAAATAAGGGGAATTTTTATAAGTCAGTAGAAGAATCCTTCGGTTTTAAAGTAATTAAGAGTAGGGTGGAAAAAGTCCATTTAGTGCCTAGTTATTCCTTCAGTGTCTAAAAAACTCCCCATATCAACAATATTAAAAAGTTTAAGGCATACACTATGAACTAATTTAAACTCACCAACACAATTTTTCACATCTAGATAATGTTACAATTTTCTAATATGGTATCTAAATATTTATTAATATCTGGTTTACCAAAATATTTACTAGATACACATCATGAGGGTTATATAATTCTTACACTATAAAATAAGTGGTCAAAGAATTCACTGTGGGGTTAAGATTTATCCACCTGAGTATATAATAATGTTTGGCAATATATTACTCACCTACCTAAAACACTCTATTAAAAACAAAATCACATACAATTACATTTTCTGAACTGCCATGGAATTAAAACTGCAGTTCAAATCAAGAGCCAATAAAACCAAAAACCAAACCAAAACAAACAAAAACACACAATAACACACACCTCACTAGGGAGACCAAATGGAACCCTGGAGCCACTTTTCACTCAACTTGAACACATACTAATCTTCACTTCTACACTCCGCAGTTACTTAGCGCAGGTTCCACACTCCAACACACTGACAAAAGGCCCAAAGATACACTTTCCTTCACTGACAGCCTGAGCCTGCAAGCCTATGAAGCTGAAGAGTAGGTTTTTATAATGCTCAGGAAAACTGGCTGAATCACCTCGATGAATTATCTCTAGAACTGTGGGAGGCTATAAATATTTTCCCTTACCCGTTCCCTTGAGTACTGGAGCAGCCTGAAGAATGGCTCAGGGAAGTGCTGCTAGCACATGGACTTTTCTTAGTAGATAAATCAAGTACACCGTCTGTAGAGACACAAAGAAATACCTGAGGACATTAAGAACTGAAACAAATATGAACTGGATAGACTAAAAATTGGGAAATAACATTTTTTATACTGTTATACCTAGGTAACATTTGTCATACTGAGGTATTACACTAAAAAAAAAAAAAAAAAAAAAAAAGGTAGTTTCTTCCAAAGAAACAAATTTAGCAAAGCATGTTATACGTTATACTGTTGTACATATAATATACATATATTTTTCAAGGCTAAGTATCTTGTCAACAGAGCAAAAGAAAGTTAAAACATTATAGAAGATGCTAAGATATATTGAGATATAGGAAACACCAGTTACACAGCATGGGTTCTGCACTAGAATTATTCTACTTAATTTTCTAAACCTTTAGTCAAATGTATGAATATATTAAAAAAAAAAACCTACATTCCCAAATTCCTCAAGATTTATCTTCTTTAAACTCCAAAAACACACAAGATAATCTGAAGGGATGAATCACTTAACAGCTTATAATTTATATATATTTTAACTATTCTTTTTGTTTTTGGAGACAGGGTTTCTCTGTGTAGCCCTGGCTCTCCTGGAATTTGCTTTGCAGACCAGGTTGGCCTCAAACTCAAGAGATCCACCTCCCTCTGCCTCCCAAGTGCTTGGACTAAAGGCATGCTCCATTACCGCCCAGCTAACTATTCTTTTGATACAAAAGTGTGTATTTAAGATAAATCCTTTAAGAAAGATCCTGCAAGTTCAAATTTCAATAGCTAAATTTTAAGAGTTTTTAAAAAATTGAAATATTTTAAAATGGTGTTCAAATTTAGTGAAAAAAAAAGGAAAATGAAACATCTTAATATCTTAACAGCTTGAAGTACAACCTAAAAAACAAGATGAATCACAGATATTAATACATAAATTAAAGACTTTCTTTTCATCAAAGTCAATTTTCCCTTTAAAGACATAATGACAACTTCCAAAGTTGTCATTCCATCCAGAGTTAAGAAAATACAATTCAGAGCTTCTGATTTTAATTTCTAGCTGGTTAGCAGGAGGTCTTGGTATCTATATCAACAGTAAATCCTAAGTAAAATATACTTAAAACTTGAATCGGAGAATGTTGCAACTCCCCATATTTCAAGTTGTTAGATATATGCAACTAAACTTCTAAAATTAAAAGACCCCAGCCTCATATAAAGTTTTTAGAAATCACTAAAACATCTACAAACAACTGTTATGTTAAAGAACCAAGTAGCATCTTAATAAATATCTAATACCCAACTGGAGAGATCTACAAAGTAAATGTAGTGCTTAGAATATTTCTAACCCAAGACAGTTGCTATAAATTAGCCTCCACTACTAACACTATAGATACATCTCTATGTTGCCACTTTTATAAATCTGAAGCTTCTGATGCAGTATCTGGAGTCAAGAGATTTTTAGTGAAAATGCCATTCTGTAGTAAAGACAACAATCCTCAATCAAACAGAAAAATGCCAGGCAGTGATGGCTCTTGTCTTTAATCCTAGCACTCCCAGGAGGCAGAGACAGGCAGGTGAATCTCTGTGACTTCTAGGCCAACCTGGTCTACAGAATGGGTTTCAGGACAGCCAGGCTACATAGAGAAACCCTGTCTTGAAAAAACAACAAACAAAACCCCGAAAAAACACGACTCTGAAAACGCAGTAAGCAAAGGGCACTGGTCAGTGTGAACAGGGCCAGAAAGGTTCCTGTGTGGACTGCTCTCAAAACAAGACATTTTGTTCACTGTTCACCATATCCAAACAGAGAGAAAAGGGAGAATAAAAGAAAGCCTACTCAAACACATACTTCAATAAGTAACTACCACCAGTCCATTAAAGGGGACATCTTCATAAATTACTTAAAATAAGAAAAAAATGGGTCCTTTTGAAGTGATTATTTTTAAAAATTTTATTTCTAAAATCAAGACATTTCTTTCCAACAAATCCATCCATAACATACCTTTTCTGCTATCCTTAAGTTTTGAATACACCGATTATGATCACTTTAGAAGTTCAAACAGTGCCTCAGTTGCAAACCTGCTGAGAGCACATTGTGCAAACACAAAGCGGCAGGGATTTTCAATCTATTTAAAACACTTCAGAGATGCAAGAAACATCTGAACAAAACTGATAACCTCTTAATGTTTTCACTGATCTGAATCCTTAATAATACTTATTTTGGAAATATCTTCAAATTATTTTCTTATTTAGTTCATGTGTATATATTACACTTAGCGATCTAAAGTATATTCTACTGTCTTTTATTTATAATACTATTTATTTTTAAAGGCAGGTCTTATGCAGCCCTTGTAGACTAGGCTGGCTTCAAACACCGAGATCCTCCTCCTGTACTTCCCAAGTGCTAGGATTAAAGGTGTGCATTACCACACCTGGCCTGATACTCTTTTGTAATTACAATGCATATTTTTATTTATCTCATTTGTAAAGTGTAACTTCCAAGCAAAGGGTATTTCTCAGATAGGTACTAATACTAGAACATATAGGATAAATAAGAGAAATTTGCCTTTTTACAGGTTTAAGAATCTGATATATTTTAGAAAGTGAAAATGCTTATATTACTCTCATGTTAAAGTTTAAAAATAACTGCCTGACTTTCCTGGGTGGTGTATCCATCACAATCACCATCTGCTGATGGGTTAAGACTGTGCAACAATGCTATCTGTACTTCTCTGTCACTGAGTAGTCAGGACAATTTAAGAATGACATTATTTTTAAGAGACAAGGTCTCACTATGCTGCCCAGACGATGTTCCTGCCTCAGCTCATGTAGTTGGGGCATACAGAGCATATACCCATGACCAGCTGGAATCACATTATTTTTTATACTGTTCTTGTTGCTGGTACCCTATTTGTAATTTTCTTTCTCCCCAAATTAAAGTCTTCTGATTGGAGAGAGGAGACCATGACATCAAACCATACCTTGTTCACTAGGTTCTGACTGAGACTTTCTGACAGTAAGGTCCAGAGGTGAGTCTTGGTCAGCCATGAGAAGTTTGCTGAGCACGGGGTTCTGAGTAGTTGCAGCCGTGGGAGAGGTGGTGACTGGAGATGCTTTCGGCAGGCTTTGGTTCTTTGTGCTATTGGGCTGGCTGGGGTCCTGAGTAGAGCTATTTTTTGAGGTATATTCAGCAGCAAATTGTTGGATCATTCGCTGCATGATCTCACGGGCCACTAGGGGAATATTGGGGCCGGAGACCCAGGGACTGTCTGTAAACAAAGATTTATTTACTTTTAAAGTGGGACAATGAACTAAGAAAAAAAAAGACAGCTTTCAAGAAAACATGAAACTTCACTTTAGTTTTTCTTTAAATTAATCTAGTATCCTAACAATTGTATTCACCATTTATTTATATTCTTAACTGGTAAGCATTTGGATCGCAGATTATTGAAAATAAAATAGCAAATGGTATCTTTTGGTAAGAATCACTTACCTGGTATGGAAATACCTAACCCTTCTCTTAGGAAATAGTTACGGTCAACATCTAAGATAATGTCAAGTTTGCCCTAAACTATCTTCTCACATCCTTTAAGTAAGGGTTACTGAATCTGTAACAGCTTAATTTACTTCTTATTAATGACTAAAGGAATAACAAAGACTATAAAAGATATTTAACTTTAGGATCCAGATTTAATTTCAAGATCCATGTAAAGACAGATTGCTGGGTGCTGCCCCCAGAGTTTCTGACTCAGCAGCTTGAGGATGGCCTTGAGAAATGGCATTCCCAACAAGCTGACAGCTGCTGATGGTCTGGGAACCATGGTTTTAGAACTCCTAGCTAGGAGTTTAAAAGTCACATTTCAAAAGCTGAAGACAATATTTTTGTAATGAAATAAACACCTAAGTAATCAATGTTTAGACAATGCTAATTCAAAACAAAGAACATAGGAATTCACCGACTGGAAAGGATCTTCAAGTTCAAATGGGGTTAAGATGAAAGAGGAAACAATCTGTGTAAACCTGTTATCTTCACATTTCTATAATCACCTAGAGACTGTATCTGCTGATTTCTGTATCCCTAATCTTGCCTGGTATAAAGTGTCTGTTCAATTTATTTGGGTAATAAATACAACAATCAAATCCTTTACCAACTAATACCTTTAAAACAAGAGAAATGTTACATAAATTTGTACAGGATGTTACTAATAAAACATATTTTTAACTCTTTACCTGAACTTCATGTTTTACAGTACACTTGACTCCCCACAAGGCCTAGCCAAGGCCTTTACAAGAGTTCTCAAAAAAGTTTTAGTTTCCTTATTTGTTAAGGTTTAGCTAGAAAAAGCAAGTAAGTATTCATAATAGTTTGGAAACGTGAGGAACTCTAGAGGTTTTCGATTTATGAACTTAAAGAAAATCTGATTTTTTTAAACTATTATTAAAATATAAAACCTCCATGTAAGAACAAATCATTAAAATCCCATAAGGCTCCTAACAGATGCCAAAGAACAATACCAGAAAATGCTCATGAAGTGACACTTTTATCTACAGACTTGCTCTACACATTTCTATCCACCTAAGCCATATTTAACAACCCCACAGTTCCTCTATAAATATACTCAGTGTTGCAATCAGCTTATAAAAAATATATTGAATAAAATTGTTTTTACAACTAATTCCAATTTTTTAATCAAAACATGAGCCCTATAGTACCTTTATATTTTATAATATTTATAAATGTATATAATACTTTTATCCACTCAATTTTTGTGTGTGAGGGGCAATGGTGTCATGGTACATATGGAGGTCAAAGGACAATTTGCAGCAGTCAATTCTCTCCTTTCATCATGGAGGTCTTGGCGATCCAACTTGGGTTGTCAGGCTTGATAGCAAAAGCACCCTTATCCATCAAGCTATCTAGGCAGCCCTTTTGATATTCATTTAATGTGTATGTGTGAGTACCTGCACAGGTGTGTATGTGTTAAATGTACATTAATATAAATTAACACAAATAAACATAAATTACTACCTATGTCTGAAGCTTGTATAGGTCAGAGAAGGCATGATATCTGGAACTGGAGTTACAAGTGGTTCTGAGTGGCTATGTGTATGCCAAGAACTGAACCCATGTCCTCTACCAAGAGCAGCAAGTGCTCTTAACTCCTGAGCCATCTCTCCAGCACCTAACACTGGTAATCTTGTTTATTTTTGGAGACAGAGTTTCATTATTTAGCCTTGGTTGGCCTGTAACTCACTATGTAGACCAAGCTGGTCTGGAACTCAGTGATCTGCCTACTTCTACCACAATTTAAAGCACTGAATCACACTGGCTTCTGAATTTTCTTTCCTATTTTGTGTGTGTGTGTGTGTGTGTGCTGAGACAGGGTTTCTCTGTGTAGTCCTGGTGTCCTGAAACTCACTCTGTAGATCAGGCTGGCCTCCAACTCAGAGATCCTCCTGCCTCTACTTTCTGAGTGCTGGAATTAAAAATGTATGCCACCACCACCTGGCCTGAATTTTTTTATTAATAGTTATATATTAGTGGCATAAATGAGATATGTTTTTACTTATGGAAAACAAGAGAATATGTGATAAAAAGGAAAATTGCTAAACAGATGGCAAAATGTAGCAATTTATGGGATTTCTGTGTTAATTAATAACTATTAAAGAGCTCTGTGGTGAGTAAAATATTTCATGATAAGAACTATTAAGTTCCACCTTGGATGTTTAAAAGCCAGTATTATATCTTTTCCCTTTATGAACACCATAGTCATGAGACAAAACATTCAATGTGTTTAAAGTTCTCTATATTCTAAGAGTTTCTTGACTATATTCATTCTTTGATTTATTTAAAACATTCTGTAATTATGGTCATACCTAAAGAAACACTCACAACTGAGTCAAGTAAAAGCAATTATCAGATGCAGGAGGAAAGAACCTGCAGGTAAACATGTAACTGTTACAGCACAGCACAGCTGGATGTGGTAGCACACCTTTTACCCCAGCACTCTGGAGGCAAGGGCAAGCTGTTTTCCATAAACTGGAGGCCAGGCTGGTCTACACTGTGAACTCCAGCATAGCCAGGGCTATACCAAGACCCTGTCTCCAAAACAAAATTAACAACCACATACACAAACACTGTCACAGCACAGCCAGTGGTATATTTCAAAATGCAAATACTATTTTAAAAAATTATTAAACAAATCTTTGAGATCTCTCTCTCTCTCTCTGCCCTGGAGCTCACTATGTAGACAGGTCTGGCCTTGAACTCACAGAGATCCATTTGCTTTTGCCTCCCAGCTGGCAGAATTATCAAAACTTTTAATATACAGGTAACAAAGCAGGCTGAAAAAGAATGTGATCACAATAACTGTTGAGAGGTATAGCTCTTCTTAGGACTTGTTGTATTGGCCCAATCATAAAGACTACTGTTACTGCATGTGTATTCCTACTTAGCTGTACAAAACTCCTACATAATTATTTAAAATACACAATTTACAACCCTTGGACAAACTAAATCCAAGCATCATAATTAGAGGCTAAACATGCCCAACATGAAAATCTGAACCACGAAATGCCCTAAAATTCCAGTCTTTCAAGTGTTGACATAAGACTCAAAAATGTTTGAACTGTGGATTTTCAGATTAGAGTTCTCGAATGGTAAGTCCACACAAAGATTCTAATATCTGAAACTTAAAAACACTTTCACACTCTTTAGCATTTAGGATAAGAGAATGCCAATCTAGAGTTATAAAAACTCTTCTCTTCAGAAAAAACTCAATGCCATCTCCCTGGATAATTGCCCATTTTTGGCATTTACAGCATGCAAATGTCCATCTGAGATCTTTTCATAAAGATTAATAAAATACTTTCAAAGTGACAATATTAACATTTAAAGCAAAAAGAAAGAATTTCCAATTCCAAAGCAACAGTTTTTCTAAGCACCTCACACCAGTGTACAATCAATATACAAATAACTAAAGTTTCATACAAATTCCAACTCTTGAAATCCTAAAACCAATTCTAAGATAAGAATTCCTACTGTAAACATTATGAATCAACAGCTTATTAAGAACTTGAACGTAAGTTACTCTTTTAGGACAAAGGCACGGAACTAAGTAAGGTAGAATGTCCCTGAAGGAATCTGCTATGTCAATGCCTCCCAACCAAGAATCGGGTAAAAGTGTACACTTGGGAGAAGGCGTTCTATCTTTAGTTTTAAAAGTTACTAAAACAATATACAGACCAATGACATTGTCTGTGTACACTCTAGTGGAGAACAACTGTAAACATATTTGGATAATAAGCTGCTACTAGTTTATACCTTAAATGTCAATATCCCCACCCTTTTTTGAGACAGGGTCTTACTATGTAGACCTGACTGGCATGGAACTCGTAATGTAGATCAGGCTTTCCTGGAACTCTTAAGAAATTGGCCAGCTGAGATTAAGAGTGATAGCACACCGGCGGCAATGTGAATTCCTTTACTGAAACAATCAAATATTCATAAAATTCATAAAATTATTTTTTATAAAAACATAATTTTGGAACTGGGGCACTTAATTTGATAAAGTGAGCCTGAAAGACTCATTTGGGAGATTTAGGTCAGAGTGTCAATGAGTATTAAAGATAAGTGGTAGCCTACTTAAAAATTTGATGTGTCTAGGAATCTGATGGAACAATGAAAATACAAAAACATGTATTTTCCCCCAAACAACAAGCTTTGTTAAGGAATACCCTAAGTTTATAGGACTTCTCACATCAGTAATGTTCTGAAAACACTGAGCACACTAAGCAGGACAACTGGTATTCAACAGTCACCAAATATTAGAATCCTTTTTCACACTTCCAGTGCACTGTCCACCTTGAGAAGGAGGAAGGGCATCTCTGGAGGAATGAGTGGTATAAAGTAGCACTGGCCATGTGAATGCACTAAAGGGGATGGGCTCTCTGGGTCTGCTGAGGTTCAGCGTACCCAAGATAATCAGCAGTACCAACGACTCCTTTTTTCCTTTCCATTCCAGCTGGCCTAAACTCAAGACCCTCCCACCCCAGCTTCTCCACTTTATGGACCTCAAGTGTGCACTACTATGCCTTCCTTGTAGGAAACATTTTTAGAAACTATCACAACCACATCTACCTTAGCAGGAGAAGGGATGCGTAATTAAGGAACAGAAATTAATTCAGAAAGAATTTATTGAAGGTGAAGACTCTACTGGACATAGTGGCACACACCTTTAATCCCCGCATTTGGGAGACAAGAGTCAGGAGGAATTTCCTATGAATTCTAGGTTAGCCAGTAGTACACAGTAAGACCCTACTGAAAGAAAGAGGAGGGGAGGGGAGGGGAGGGGAGCGGAGGGGAGGGGAGACAGAGACTCTTCACTAACTAAAACACAAGATCATAAAGAGGTTATGCAGATAAAGAAAGGAATTGAAGCTGGTGGTACTGCCACACGCCTTTAATCCCAGCACTTGGGAGGCACGGGCAGGTGGATCTCTGAATTCAGGACAACCTGGTCTACAGTGAGCTCTAGGACAGCCAGAGCTACAGAGTGAAACCCTGCAGGAGACATGGTGCTAGAAGTAGGAATGGGGGGGTTTGTGGGGGGTAAGGCAGGATGGACAGACAGACTGACAACAACATGAAAAGAAAGACAGAAAGAAAAGAGTTGGAGAGATGGCTCAGTGGAGCATTTGTTCTTGCAGGGGGCTGGGATTTGATTTCCAACACCCACATGGTAGCTCACAATCATCTAGAATTCCATTTCCAGGGTATCTAACCTTCAAGCGCACCAAGCCACACATGTGATGCACATACATACATTCAGGAAAAACAATCATATGTAAAATAAAATGAATAGATTCTTTTAAAGTTTTTTTTTAAGAAATAGAAGAACTGATTCTCTAAAAAGAATCCCTAAGCCTCAAGACTGATACATGCCTCTTTTTGACACTGCAACACAATGCTGTCATCATATCTATTGCAATTTTTAAAAAAAATCTCATAATGTCCTAAGCTATATTTACAATTTTGTGTTAGACCACACATTTATAGCTATCCTCTGCTGCATGTGGCCTGAGAGTCATGGGTTGGACAAGACAGGTGGAGAGATCTTTTCTGCTTTTCAAAACCAATATAAAACAAGCCTCTTTAAGGAAAATGATGTGCTGGAAATTCTAGAGGGATCTATTAAATTCTATATAAAATGTAAGTAACAATGTCTTATTAGTGTTCATTTTCCTACTTAATAGTTAAAAAATATTCAGTGAAATGAAATGATGTCAGTGTGGGTAGAGCAATGGCTCTGAGGTTAGGAACACTTGTAGCTCTCAAAAGAAGTTCCAGATTCAGTTCCCAGTACCCACATGATTCACAACCACAGAACCTCCAGTTCCAGGGGCTCTATACCTTCTTCTGACCTATGAGAACAACAAGCACACACGGTTCACAGACATGCAGGAAGGCAACACACTCACACATATAAAATAAAAATCAATAATTTTTAAAAGACTATATCAGTGCTTACAAAAATGCTTACAATACAACTGTAAAATTCAACTATATTTTCATTTCAAATGAAATTTCAGGTCAGATTTTCAATTTACAGAACTACTGGTTTTTATAATTGTTAAGGATTTAAACAGTAGCATTTTATATTTCTAAAACTTGTCTAAAAAAATTGCAGAGTTTCACAAATTTCTGAACTATTTAACTAAAACCATCACTTCAGAATTCAAGAGAGCAATGGGTTGTCTTAAACTTATTCCAAATTTATGTTCTAAGAGTAACTTAAAATTACAATGAAATTATGGAGATTAATATAAGACAAGCAGGCTGTGTCATCTATTACTGAAACCAACCTTTTCTATAAAAGACTGCATTGAGGAACTCTTCTGCTTGTCTCTGGAGTCGAGTGACTTTTGCGTGCTCTTGTTTAAGCAAAGCTTCTTGCCCAGCTCCGGAAGCTGGCTCATCCAGACCGACTAAGTGTCCCTGTAAAAATATCGCGTGAAATGTTTGTATAAAATCTCTCCCCATTCAAAGATCCAAAGCACAGATGCATAAATACAAGTGTTACTAGTCAATAAGATAAACTAGTATAATACAATTAAAATATTTAGAAACTTTTAATCTGTTTAAATACTTAAAACTTAAATTCTGTTCCTAAATAACTGTATTATAATAGCTCTCAGATCTTACTGGGTTGTTAAGTTGATAAATAAGTCAGAACTAGCACTATGATAGTGAACTAAAACCACACACTGTCTATTCCAAGTACATTTCAGTATTTTAGTTACAGTATGTACGTCTTTGAACATACATACATACATGCAATAAGATGGGAATTTAAAGTTTCCAAAATGCTGCAATCAACTCATTCCAGAGACTCCCAACATGACTTCAAGGCTGCTGGAGCACTGTGCAAAGCTGATAGAGCTCTGCACTTCCAGCCTTGCCTCTCACAAGCCAACAGGAAACCAGAACAATGATGGTGACCACAGAAAATAAGATAGGGAAATGCACAGTATGCGTTCTAAGCATGCTTTAAGTCCTGTGCTCACATTCCTTCTGCATCACTGCAGTGTTTAAATCCATGTGTTTACTTTCACCACTACCTAAAGACGCTTTCTAAAAAAAGAAAGTGGGCCATAATTTGCACAATAAAGTGTGTATAAGAATTGAAAGTACATTATAACCCACAAACTCCTCAAAGATTTAAAACGCATCCACTAATGTTTGCAACCACTTCCTATGATTTCTTCATTATAATTATCATCATACCTATTTGTTTCACATTTAAACTTCTTCATCAAGATATAATTCAGTGATAGAACTAAGCCACGTAATGTAAAACACAATGGATTTTATTCATATCTATAAATTGTTGCCATCACCATGTGAATATTTATATCCCATTAACACTCAACCTCCATCTCCCTGCTTATATCCAGCCTTAAGCAGCCAGTTATAAGTTATTTCACTTCTGAAGATATGCCTGTTGTGGCTATTTCATCTAAGTGGAGCCATTTTTTTTTTGGAGGGGGTAACATTTCCTCCTAGAAAATAACTTCAAGGTTCACCTGTATTATGGCAGATGTTGGCATTTCCTTTTATTTTTTTTTAAACTGCTAAATGAACATTCCATTTTATGGCTATACCAAATCTTATCCATTTAACAGCTGATGACTATTTGGGCAGTTTCCACTTTTCCATTATCACGTAAGTAATGAGAGTATTGAGTCCTTAAGCTTTTGTGTGGATGCTTATTTTCATTTTCTTAGCTACACAGTTAAGAGGTAATTTCTGGATCATATGTTAACTATGTTCAGCATTTGAAGAAGTATAAAAGTAGCTGTACCACTTTATACTCACAACAAAAATGCATGGAGTTTTCAAGTTCCCCATATAGTCATAAATACCTTTTTTTTTTTTTTTTAAATTATCCATCTGTGGTAGTTTGAATGTAATTGGTCCCCATAATCTCATAGGGAGTGGCACTATTAGGAAGTGTGGCTTTGGTGGGGTGGCTATGGCCTTGTTGGAGGAAATGTGTCACTGTGGGGGTGGGCTTTGAGGTTTCCTATGCTCAGGATATCGCCCAGTGTCTCAGTCAACTTCCTGATGCCTTCAAGATGTAGGACTCTCAGTTAATACTCCAGCGCCATATCTGCCTGCCACTGTCATGCTCACCGCCATGATGATAACAAACTGGACCTCTGAAACTGTAAGCAAGCCACCCCAATTAAATGTTTTACTTTATAAGAGTTGTTGTGGTCATGGTGTCTCTTCACAGCAATACAAACCCTAAGTAAGACACTATTTTAAAAGAAACGTGCTATGAATGTCGTCCTTTGGTTTAGGTTTATATCTTCCTGATGTCAAGCTTTTTCTGTGCTCTCTGGTCATCTGAATACTTCTTTGAAGATTGAGATTATCTGCTCACTTTTTAATTAGACTATGTTTCTATTAAGAGTTCTCGATATATTCTGTCTATTATTAGGCATATAAAAGCATTTTCTCCCCATTCTGTAAGTTTTCTCAATATTTCATTAATGCCAATGTTTGCATCAATTAAGTGTTTATGTGCATGTGTGCATACGTGTTTTAGTAGTATAGAGGATCTAACCTAGGGACTCAGACATACCAGGTGAATGAATGCTCTATCACTTAGCTACATACCCAACCCTCTTTCTCCATTTTTTTTAAAGGTGCACACATATAGAAACCAGAAGCGGATGTCAGATTCCCTGGGGCATTAGGCATGCACTGATACACAAACCTGCAGCAAAGCATCAATACATATACATAAACACATCCAACTTAAAACTCTATATAGCATAAAGTTTTACTCCTGCCCCCCCCCATATTTATGTGGTATTGATTGTTTTTAATTGCTGTATTACTCTAGTTAGAATCTCCTAAAATGAAGTTGAATTGAAGTATTGATCACAGTCAGTACTATGTTATTCCTCATCTTAGGAAGAAGCTGTTTTAGTCTTTGGATCTTAAGTAAGAGTGCTTTTGCAGCAAGTTGTGAAAAATCATGGTTTGGTCACACTTTTTAAGTTATCTACTGAGATGCTTGCATGATGTCTGCCATTTATTTTAGCAACACATTGTATTACATTAATTGATCTTGGTGTATTAAACCAACCTTTCAACCCTGAGGTAAATCTCACTAGATAATGGTATATCTGAGCTTAGTCTTCAGTGATATTTCTGCCTAGTTTGGTATGGTTAATAATAGACTTCTTTAAGAAAAAAAAAAAGTGTTCTTCCCATACTTTGGAAAAGTTAGTTAGGAATTAGTATTAATACTTTAAGTATCTGGTAAATCCAGAATCCATGTTTTTTTTTTTATAATATTTTAAAAAGATTTATTTTCTTTGTATGAGTGTTTGCCAACATGCATATATGATCCTGGTGCCCATGGGACTTCGAAGGTGGTATCAGCTCCCCTGGATCTGGAGTTACAGATGGTTGTGAGCCACTATGTGAGTACTGGGAACTAAACCTGGGTCTGACCCCAAAACAACCAGTGCTCTGAACTACCGTGCCATCTCTCCAGCCTCCAGACTATAGGTATGTGTGAAATAATTCTTTTCTACACTGTAAAGATTTGTCACTTAAATTGGTTTAATAAAAAATGGACTGGCCTATAACTGGGCAGGAGAGATGGGGGTGGGGGGAGCCAGACTAGGAGAATTCTGGGAAGAAGGGCAGAGTCAGAAGAGTCACCAGCCACACATAGGAAGTAGGAGTAATAAACATGAGCCATGTAGTAGCACTAAGATAAGAAACACGGGTTAATTTAAGTTGTAAGAGCTAGTTAGTAATAAGTCTGAGCTATCAGCCGATCATTTATAATTCATATTAAGTCTCCATGTCAGTTATTTGGGAACTGGGAGGCAGGAAAGAAAAGTCTGCCTACAAATGGTGCCCAAGGTCCAGGGCCATGTACATCCACATAATCTATTTTTAAAAAAAGGATCTAAAACACACAGAAACAGAGCCAAACCCAGCTTTCTATTCTCATGTCTCTCATGTTGGGTCACAATACCAAGATGCAGCTGCTTGGGGGAAGAGCCAGTTGCCAGCTGCCATGCACTAAGCTAAGATACACTTGTGGTGGCTAATATAGCAGTTTAAGATTTGTCTCATGTGATGAAAAAATATTACAGATACACAGTAAAGACAGATTCAAACTGGAAAAAAACTCTAAACAGGTTACAGTATGTTTAAACACATAGTTTTAAAATAATAAAGTCCTTAAAAAAGGGAGTCAAGTAATTAAAAAAAAAGCCACATAAAGATGACAAGTACACACAGAGTCTAGATACTGTATGTTATTGTGTTGTCTTTGAATTTTTTGATAGCTGAGGAAGGAACGATAGCTACTAAGATACACTGGATTATAAAAACTGCTGGATTAAAACAACCTTTATATTTTTAAAATGTCTTGACTTCAAAATGGAAGTCAAAAGATATGCTACTTTGGGGAAGAGACTATGCTTTCATTTCCACAGAAACTGAGAGACCGTGGATTCATTCTAGGTTAAAGATGATCAGGGAAGACCCCCCTGAAAATCCTGACTACAAACATAAAGAAATAAAGCTAGAAGAACCAACCACAGGACACATGATATATAGTTTACCTACTCAAATATAAAACAAGAAATCATCTTTGACTAACTTGTGTACAACATACAGTCTATACTTATTAATACAGATATATATGTTACCTTTAAATGTTTATGTATTTTCATGGGGGCTAGAGAAATGGCTCAGAGGTTAAGAGCACTGGCTGTTCTTCCAGAGGTCCTGGGTTCAAGTCCCAGCAACCACATGGTGGCTCACAACCATCTGTAATGAGATCTGGTGCCCTCTTCTGGCCTGCAGGTATACATGCAAGCAGAATACTGTATAAATAAATCTTTAAAAAAAAAAAAAAGTTTATGTATTTTCAGAGCAAGAGGACCAGACACCAATAAAAACTGATGGCCCAGGTGATCTCATATCCAGAACAGCTTCAAGGCTGCTGGCTGAGATGACTCAGGCTCATAGAATACTACAGCCAAGACCTAACAATTATCCTGACTTTCTCAGGGTTCCCCCCAAATTACCGGCACCCCAAAACAACAGGAAGTAGTCTACAGAATGGAAAAGATGGGTTATGGGTATTTATTATCATTTAAGGGGGGTTGGTTACAAGTTAAGTTGTTTTTGGTAATGATCAGGAAAAAAGCTGAACAAAGGAGATTAGAGTCAGGGATCTCTTTCTGAAAAGAAAAGGTGGGGTGAGGGGGTTATAGAAATGACAGTATAAAAGAGTAGATTGTTAAATCTACTCTTTTTGGTTTTCCCAGACAGGGTTTCTCCGTGTAGTTTTGGTGGCTGTCCTGGATCTCGCTCTGTAGACCAGGTTGGCCTCGAACTCACAGAGATCTGCCTAGCTCTACCTCCTGAGTGCTGGGATTAAAGGCGTGCACTAC